TGAATTTTCTAATATATTCAAGATATATTTATGAAATGTCATTTTTTAGAATGAATTTCTCATGTATAGATAAATGTTATCATCTGGAGGGTTTTTAATGGATTAGATACATAAATAAATTTTCATCTATCAATATAAGAAATAATGAGGATAACTTTGGCTATATATCCAACTTCAAATAAAAAGAAGAAAAGTATCATTTTATGTATAGAAATATTTAAACAAGAATAATATTTTGGCTAAAGTGGCAACATCTCAATAAAGATCCCTGTGTTCATTCTGAACATTTGATTGAAATATAGAATTAACCATCAGTTACATTTTAGAATAAATCTGTTTATTAACTGCCATTATATAGTAAGTTGTAATACCCTAGGAAAAAAGAAGTGTATCTTGCAGAGTGAACATACTCAAAATGTGAAGGGCTTGATAAGGTTTCACAGTAATGCATAGACTACTTAATAGATTAGAACTAAGCGATGGAATAAAGGTAGGCAGGCTACAAAAAAATTGCTCTTTTACATACCAACTTGATAGAAATAGTTGATAGCTGTTAAATGAAAGATTAACTTTTATAAGAAATTTGTAACTTTCAGGTAAATCATGAAACTTCGTCAGTGTTTCTTCCCTGTGTTGGTAATTGGGAGCTGGGCAAAGAGTCACTGCCACCTTTACCCTATCTCGGTAAGAAAACACAGTAAGTTAAACAATAAAGTGAAACTGCTTGTAAGACAAGTAAACTAGGTATCTAAAAGGAAAAAGTTTGCTCTCACTGATGTAAGAAAACTTCAGGATACTGATTGTATCATAAAACATTAGAATCTCTATCAGAGTAATTAATGATTGAAGCCGGAGAGAATTTTGGGGACCAGCATATCACAAACTCAGAATCCAAGGGTCTTGGTTTCTAGATTCAATATCCTATTCACGACCAGCAAAAGTAGCGATGATGAAGATAAAATAATTCGTTTGGCTAGATGATCAGGGAAGGAAGAGAAGGCAGTTATCACTTCACGTCAGCATTGTTATGTACAAAGTCGGTAAAGAAAACGCATGCACACGTTCAGAAAAAAGGTATATTGTGTAGAGGGGAACAAGAGTTGTTCATAAGAATAAAATACATTTGTCCTAAAAACAAACAAAAATCTTGTTTTGGAACACAGACCTCAGGCTGTTCCACAGTCTGTATAAATCCATTGCCATTGAGTCAATTCCTGATCATAGTGGCCCTACAGCACAGAGTAGAAATGCCCCATTGGGTTTCCAATGCTGTAAAATCTTTTGGAAAGCAGACTTCCTCATCTTTCTCCCATGGAGTGGCAGGTGGAATTGAACTGCTGACCTTTTGGTTAGCAGCCAAATGCCTTACCCACTGCACCATGTGAGAGTTTCTTCAGTGAGCCCAAATTATCCGTTATGTATTAGCGTTGTTTAAAGAGAAAAAGGAAGAGGGGCAAATGTCAAGATAGGACACTAAAACAATGGAGAAATTTTGTGATTTAGTTTGCAAATAGGGAAGAATTCTTGAGAGTCAAGAGTCAAAGTACATTATTGCTACACTTAAAATTCTGCCTCATGTGCAATCTATTTTAGTCACATGGGAAAATCCTAATGAGTGGATGGAAGTGAAACTTTAGGGGGAAAAAAGTAATGAAGAATAAAAGCCTAAATATGCTGAATTTTTAAGTATTTAAAATAATCTATAAGAAAATGCCTCTGCTTTTCACACATAGATTGGCAGGAGTTGGAAGTCGGTGATGAGAAACGGGACAGTAACCACATTCATTCTGCTGGGACTGACTGATGACCCTCAGCTGCAGGTTCTGATCTTTGTCTTTCTCTTTCTCACCTACATGTTGAGTGTAACTGGCAACCTGACCATCATCACACTCACCTTTGTGGATTCTCACCTGAAAACACCTATGTACTTTTTCTTAAAAAATTTTTCCTTTTTGGAGATCTCATTCATCTCTGCTTGTATTCCTAGATACTTGTATAACATAGCAACAGGTGACAAGGTCATTACCTATAATGCTTGTGTTACCCAAGTGTTTTTTCTTGACCTCTGTGGAGTAACAGAGTTTTTTCTCCTGGCTGCCATGTCCTATGACCGTTATGTGGCCATCTGCAAACCCTTGCATTATGTGGCCATCATGAGCAGCAGGGTCTGCAGGAGTCTCATTATCTCTAGCTGGCTGGCTGGCTTATGTGTAATAATCCCACCCCTGAGCCTGGGTTTAAATTTGGAGTTTTGTGACTCTAACCTGATTGACCATTTTGGCTGTGATGCATTTCCCCTTGTGAAAATCTCCTGCTCAGACACATGGTTTATGGAACAGACAGTTATCATCTTTGCTGTGCTGACCTTGAATATGACTCTTACTTGTGTCGTTCTATCATACGGTAGTATCATCAGGACAATATTTCGTTTCCCTTCTGTGCAGCAAAGGAAAAAGGCCTTTTCAACCTGCTCTTCCCACATGATTGTAGTTTCCATCACCTATGGCACGTGCATTTTCATCTACATGAATCCCACAGCTAAGGAAGAAGTGACTGTTAATAAAATGGTTTCATTACTTATATCTTCTGTTTCACCTACATTGAATCCATTTATTTACACCTTGAGGAACAATCAAGTCAAGAAAGCCTTCAAAGACTCAATCAAAAGACTTTTCTTGCTCTCAGCTAAGTAAAGGAAAATAATGTTCTTTAAAATTTGATAGATTTGATTGTATAAAAGCATTAATCATATGCCAAAAATCATCAATGACATTTTTAAAGACTTATATTCTCAAAATACATACTTAACACATTTACAAGAACAAAATCTGAGTAGACTTAGAAATAAAATTATGATTCACTAGTGAATTATTTACAGTGGAAAATCTTTGATAAACCTATCTTATCTTTTATGATACACAAAATTTATAAATAAGAAATAACATTTTGATCTAGAAATTTTACTTCTTTATTCTCACACATTTACAAAAAAAAATTAGTATAAAATTTTATTCATAGAATGGTTGAAAGCTATGAAAAATGAAAATCTTTGTAAATATAATTCAGACAGTGGTTAAATGAAGAATATAATCAGATGAACAATTTTATTAATAGTTAAATTAGAAAGAATGAAATTTATATTATATAATCAATTAAGATATATTTAAATAAAAATAAACATTTTTTTGCATACAGTTAAAGGACGTAGTTGCAAATATGTATGCATTTATGTATAATACCTATAGTGTAGTGGGTGTATCTGAAGAAATAAAAACTTATAAAGGTAACATCTATAATATAAGCAGCAAACCAAACCAAACTCACTGTCATCAAGTCTATTCCAACTCTCATTGACCCCCAGTGGGTTTCCAAGGCTATAAATCTTTATGGAAGTAGATTGCCTTATTGTCCTCCTACAGAGCTGGTGGGTTTGAACTGCCAACTTTCTGTTTTGCAATCAAATGCCTTACCCATTACACTACTGGGATTCAATATAAGCAGAAGCCTTATAGAACTGCATAAATTTTTCATTTTGTTTATCTGATTGAAATTGTTCAATGATAATAAAGCATTACTGTAATAAAGGATTATAATTATATAATAAAGAATGTAAAATATTCCAAATGCTTCAGTAGATGTATTTTTTTTTTAAATAAAAATGTAATTCAAATATTATGCTTGTTCTCTTTGTATCTGCCTGGTACTGCTATATTGTCCTCCTACCTCCAATGACACAGTCCCCCTGAAACCTGTTACTTGTTTTATTTCTGCTAATTTTTATTACTCATTAAATGTATTCAAGGCTATTGATTGTAGGTCACCAGGGATCTTTTGTATTTTTTACGTGGCTTGTTCAGAATTTTTTTTAAAAATTAGTGTTATACTTGATATTGTGAAATTGTTTCTCACTCTAGAAATGTTTTAGAATATTGTCTCTTCCAAGTAGATAGAGTTACTGACATTAAGCATCTCTTACAGTAATTTATTCTATTCAATGATGGAGATAATGAGAATATATTTCGGACTGATAATAGCACTAAGTTCACTGTGAGGAAGTCTGTCAAATTTGTTGAAGTTGAAAATTGCTGGGAGCTCTACTCATCGCTGAACATACCAGTGAATGTAAAGACATCAAGGTCTTTATAAAACTTACTTTCCACATAGCAGTTTCCACATGCAGAAACTCTGATTTACTAGCAAAACAGTAAGTATGATAAAGCGTATATCTTTGATTGTAATTCCCTTTGTAGTATCAAGGTCATATTTTTCTCAGGAAAATGAAATAGATTTCAAGGATAATGTATATTTTTTTTTCTATGTATCTAAGATACGAAAAGCCACTTTTTAGAATGAATTTTGCTCGAATAGGTAAATGTCATTGTTTGGACATAGTATACAAACAATTATGCATTTAATGTAACACAAGAAATGTCAGTGACAACTTGGGCTTTACATTCAGCCAAAATTAAAATTATCAAAGTATCTTTATTACTGTTTAATCATGCCCCTGTGCTCTGCCCCCTTCCACAACAAAATAATAATTATTATTAATAAGTGGCACCATCTCATTACACATTCCTTTGTTCATTTTAAAATTTTGATTGAAAGAGAGAATAAACAGAAATCAGTTAGTTGCACTTTAGTGTCAACTCGTATATTATCTTCATTATAAATTGTCCAGTCAATCCAACACCACCACTAACACTTTGGAGAAAATATATATACATGTATTTTGATGACTGAAAAATACTTAAGGTTTAAAGAGTTGAGTAAGGTTTCGCAATGATCTACAAGTTACCTGAGAAATTTGGAAAAACTTTTGGTAAAAGAGAGTTGCGTTACAAAAAAGAAAAAAGTTCTACATCGCAATTTAATATGTTGTATTTTTATGCAAATATCATGCACTTGCCTTTTATGTTGGTCAACAGAACCTTCTTCATACGAGGTATTTTCATAAGCACTGTGCTATTTCTTTTTTCATGTTGCTATAAAAAAAAATAGCCTAACACCTACGAAAATACCTTGTATAGGTTTGAAGAGGAAGTGATTGGCTAGCAAACGTAGAAGGCTTGCATCATTTGAGTAAAAATATGGTAAATAGTTGATAGTTGGTAAATGAAAGGTTAAAGTCAATAAAATTATTGTATCTTTCAGGAAAATTATGAACCTTGGTCAGCACCTCTTTGCTATCTCAATAACACTGTGAAAAGTCACAGCTAACTCTGCTCTTACCTCAACAAGGACACAGGAAGTTAAGCAATAAAGTGAAACAGCTTGTAAAACAAATAAATTGGATACACAAGGGAAAATTTGTTATGTTCATTGATGTCAGAAAACTTCAAGCCTTGACATACTGATTGTGTACTGGAAACCTTTGAGTTCTTACTGGTGTAATTAATGGCAGAAGCAGCACAAGAAAAATCCATGCAGTCCTTTATCACAAACTCAGAACCTAAGGTTTCTGTTTTGTTTTGTTTATTTTAAGAGCTTGTTTTACATTTAACATTACATGTCCATTTAGTTTCACTCCCCATTTACCATGTCCAACCCTAACCCAGTTTCTTCCCCTCCCTGCCCAGTAACCTTCCCCCTGTGCCCCTCATATTTATATACTCCTGGTTGTCCTGCATTTACTCAGTTGGAATGTTGGTCCTCTGGTGCCCCATGGGCTATTGCCCTTAGCGATGTAATACCATAGTGTATGTGGATGTGTCATCCTGGGTTGAGTGGTCTGCATGCACATCTTTTTAACTATTGGGCTGAGAGACAGCCCCAAGTAGTAAATTTTATTCCAAGCACAGAATGTATTCCAGGGCCATAGTATTGGGGGTCTCACCAGATTTCATCTGACCAGTAATTCTGGTCATTATTGAGTTTTTGGATTTTGTTCCATGTTGTTATTCTCACTCTATCCAGGATCTCCAGATTTGATCTTCCCTTGAGTGTTTAGCATTGGTAGCTGGGCACCATCTAGTTCTTCTATCCTTGGGCCATCATGTCCTAGGCTAATTGCTTCCAAATGTCCTTTTTTTTTTTTTCTCTCTCTCTTCTTCACTTCCAACGCTAGGAGACCATTAGCTGCATCTTAGATGGCCACTTGAAAGCTTTTAAGACCCCAGTCACTAATCACCAATGTAGGATGCAGAACAAGGCTTTTATGTATTCTTTTGTGCCAACTGAGTCTGTTGTCCCCCAGTATTGTGGTCCTGAGATGGTAGATCTATTGGATCTCTCTCCCATAGTGTCTCATTGTCTGTGACGGATTACTCTCTGTCTTCTGTTGTTTCTGTAAGGATTCCAGGTATTTTGTATCACTGGTCTGTGCAAGATTAGCCTCAGCTGAATCTATCCTTCATCTAGAGTATACTTCTGTTCACTGTCCCACATCTGATTGTCTCAGGTGTTTGTGTTTTTCTGTAGCCTGGTGTTTGGTGTTAATGGCAATGCAGTATTACAGACACATTGGTTGGTATTAGCATCTGTCATCTATCACTTATGTGCACAATTTGGTGCCCTCCCATTTCCTAATGTTATCATGATGGTCACAGATCCTTTCCGTATATATCTCCCCTACCTGTGTCAGCATGTGGGCTCCAACTAGCCCAAAGTTAATCCCTCCCCTTCCTTCCCATCCCTGTTACCTACAAAGTGAGTGCCTTTTCCCAAGAAAACCCTTCTTTGTCTTTTTACAGTAATGAGCTCATACAGTATTTATCTTTCTGTGATTGACTTATTTTACTCAGCATAATGTCATGCAAGTTCATCCATGTTGTGAGATGATTTGCATGCCCCTCACTGTTCTTTAATGTAGCATAGTATTCCATAGTGTGCACATACCACAATTTGAGAACCTAAAGATTCTTGACTTCTGATTTCAATATCTTATTATTAGGCAAAAGTGGAAAAAATAAAAGATAGAAGCAATTCATTAGACTGGAAGGTGAAGGCAGTCATCATTCTGTTACCAATTAAAATAATACAGATTGTTTTGGTTACCTGGTGCCACTCTGACAAGAATATATACCACAAATGGAATGGCCTTAATGAACAGGAGTTTATTGTTACAGTTTGGAGGTTTTAAGTCCGTATTCAAAGTGCTAGGCTCTAAGGGCTGGGTGAAAGCCCCTCAACCTTGGGCTTCAGCTCTGCCTTTTGCTCCCAGCCCACTGAAGCTAGAGGCATGTCTTCACTTAGGCAGCTACTGGCTGCTGAGGCTAACAAGCCCCAGGTAGACAAATAAAATGTCACAGTCCCGATGTTACCAAGCCACACAGTAGGCCATTAATTCAAGTCCATTGTAAGTCCCAAGGTCGGCAGAGCATTGCAGGCTGCTGAACAACAACACAGCTACATGAAGGGTCCAAGCGAGCCATAAGCTAGAGACCATTCCAAAAGCTGCTGCTTATATACAGGAAGCAAACCACATTCCCTAAGGCAGCTACTCAGCTGCTCACAGTAGATTGCACCATGGAGTTGATCACCAGCCCCATCATGGGGAATAACTACGACCAGCTGCCCAGCCACTCCACCAGGCCCAGCCAAGTTGACACACAAACTGAACTACCACACACATGTTCAGCAAAAGAATGTATATAAACAGGAAAAACCTGCATTGTTTGGGTGGAGAAGAGGACTTAGGTTACTAACAGGAGTAAACCATATTTGTCCTAAAGGCAAAGCAACAAAATCTTCT